AAAGACAAGACTATAAATTCACACCAACAAAAAGTTACTCCTTTCATGGAAGGGGTTAATATACACTGAGACCCAGATCTTCCATGAGGAGTGGGTTCTGTTATGATCTGGGCCCGAGCTATTAAAACATTAAATTCAGGTATTGTATGTACATTTCATCATAGTCATTGACTATCAACTTTTTTACATACTGTACAAGACACTTGAATCATTTTAAAGTGAGGTATATGACATTTGCAGTTTCCAATTTCAAACAGTTTTAAAAAGCTCTAGATACCACCTTGATAGTACAGTTATTTACATTTCTTGTTGATGCTTGTATGGTCTAAATTTGATTAGTTAATACTGTTTAAAACAAACAAACAAACAAACATGATTTTTACTTGTTATTTTGTTCAGTAAATAATACAATACTGTACTTTCTGTATTCTTTTATTTTGTGTAACACACTTTTATTTTCATCTGTTTTAAATCATCTAGTGTGAGACTGAAACTGTTCAAAACCTAACCGGTGTTAATCTGAAGGTACTAACAAACACATTGTCTTGAAGCCTGGTGAAAAGCCTGTAGCAAGTATTCATTTCTATTTGTGTGAGTCTGCTGAGCCCTGTTTCTAACAGGCTGAGATTAGATTGCAGGCTGTTAATTCCAATAGCAATAACCAAATGTATGCACATATATAGCTGGTGACACTCATTTTTGTTAAATAAAAAGGTATTCGTGCACATCATTTAGGCACACATTTGCTGTGCAATACTTATGATTAGTTTTTCTAAGAATCTTGGAAGTCATCAGCTAGGGTTCATTAGCCAAAAGAAGCAATTGTAGAGCTTCTTTTTGAAGCATGCTGGAATCCTGTTTGAAATAATTTTTATTTCAGAGCACATCCTGGCAAATTATACTAAGAAACTTTAAAAAGTCTACACAGTACTGCAATGGGTTCAAGGGATATTTCAAGAATATTTATTTTATTATGGTTTTGCAGGTCTGCACTTTTTCACTCATGTTTTTCACTGTTTTAACCATGTGTGTAATACATGTCATGCAATGAAGCTGACAGAATGTTTGTAACATGATTAAGCAAACACAACAAATTTAAAATCCAATATTTTTATTAGTTTTGGTTTAAGGCCCTCTTGCACAGCTGAAGGATGTTTATTAGAATTTACAAACTAACTTAAATGTCATACTCCTTTGTAAAATAATAACTTTTTTTTTTCTCAGTCTTTGTCCACCTCTCATAATGTGGTGGCAAATTTCACTGATCTATCGGGAGTATCATGCTATACTTATTTTGATTTTTGCCATGACATTATATGCTCTAGATGATAACATGATAAATTGCTGGGTTTATTTAATAAGATTGATAGACATATGCTTATGTCTGATAAGAACTGATATCTGAAGAGAAATCCTCCTGCATACTAATGGATATATAGTGTCTCATTGGTGTCTGCTTTGATATATTTTGCGGTATGTTCTATTTATCCCAGTAGGCAAATTTTAATTAAGTAATCTGTTGCTGTTTTGTAATTCCATCTGGTTTTCTAATTTTTTTAATAATTAAAATTACCACATTAAAAATTATACAAATATTAATCTATAGGTGTGATAAAATATTGTCATTAACTGAGAATTCTATTCTTACTATTTTATAAAGCACCAGGTTAATTGATCCAAACCAAAAAAGTGTCATGTAACCCCCTTTCAGAGATCCAGCTGAAATGTTATTCAGCAATTCCTAAAGAAATTTCTGTCCATGTCTCTGAAACAGTGGCTTCACTAGCATTCCCACTGGTCCTTCATTTGAAAGTACTTCAGAATATTTAATTTGTTTAAATGCTTACTTACACAGTCATTTATTCTAACATTTTAACTCTTAAACCTTGCCTGTAAATTTGTGTATCTAATGCATGCAATGATTGCAAGATCTCCAAAATTATAATTTCTTATTATTTTCCATTTTAGTGTTAAATGTTCCATAACACCTGACACTCTCAGTGCTATGCTTCAGCATTCACAGGAAAAAGGAAATTTGAACTACAAGGATTCAAAGCACATTACTGTTTAAATCTTAATAAGATGAAACAATAAATCATATACATGTATCACACACAGCGATTGTTGAAAAAAAAGGGTTAAATTTGCAATATTGTATTCAGAAATTAAGAAATTTGGGAACTGCAGAAGAAATGGAATTGTGATCACACTCCCATGTGCATGCATATAATGATGCGGGCCTTACTTAATTTTATTCTTTGTTACATACTGTCCAAACCCTACTCAAAGGACAGATTATTTCATGGACTTTTCTTCCTTACCCATGATCATTATACTTGAGGGATACATACACCTTGATTAATTTGTGTTCTGAGCATTCCTGGGAAGGGAGACAATTATTTTCCAGAGAAGACCAATGTGAAACTGTTCTTCCTTCTCTTATAATTGCCTGCCTTGTTCTCAAGAGCTTCTCCTGCAACAGGCATAGATGCCTTGTAGATTCCAACCTTCCTCATTGTACCATTGTAATTTAGCTTCAGATCAAGTTCATTTTCTACAAATAACGTGTGTGATGGAATTTTGGGGAAAAAAAGATACATTGCTGTATTTTGAAAATTTGTGGGAGCCAAATTAATTTTTCAAAACCTGAACAGAATATTTAACTTTGCACACTTCACCATTTTTCCTCGGTCAACAGAATTCAAACTATAAAACTAGCTACACAACTATATAAGCCAAGTGAATAGCTGAATCACTAGTTTGCCATTCAAGTGTGGACAGCAATGGACAAGGAGTTGGTGAGCCAGTTTGACAGTGCGCAGGGAAGATATTTCCTTTACAGAAGAGTAATAAGGCTTCCAAAGAAAAGCATGAGAATATTTCTGTATTCTATTAGAGCACCTCTTGGATAAGCAAAAGAAATGGTAAGTGGCAACACCCATCTTTCTTATTTGTAGAGAATCTCTGAAGGAGACTCTGCAAGCAGTTGTCATGAGCTGGCAGTAAGTGGGTGACTAGAGCATGCAGAGTACCCCATGTTGGTTTGTGTTCCAGCTCACAGATCATCAAAGGAAAATTTCACTTGGAGTGCGTAGTGTGGCTGAAGCAATGGCTGTTTTTATTTTCTGGCACCAGGAATGAAGCTTTGTGTAAGGACAAGATTTGACATCCACCTAGAAGGTATCTCAGCTGTGCAGAATCATAGTGCCTACAAACCATTATTAGCCATTAGGAGAATAACTGGAATAGAGCATAAATTTAGCTCTGATCAACATTTTTGCTCTTGGGGAATTCATTGCTTCCAGTAAGGAGAAAGAATACCAGCAAGCACTGTTGTCCACAATAAGATCATTGAAATCCTTGTACATGTACACCTTCTTGCAGAGAACTACATGAAGCTTGAAGCCTAAAACCTCAAGAATGAAATGCTACCGAGCAATAATGTAGCATTCACCCTAATTCTCCTGTTTTAGACAGAGACTTCAGGAACTGATACCTGCTACTACTTTTCTTTATGGATGTAATGGTAAGTTGAGTTTGGGTGGTGTTTTTTGGGGCTTTGGGGGTTTTTTGAGTAGGAGGAGGAGAGGGGGAAAATACAAGAGAGGAGGGAAGGGGTGTCAGTATTCCAGAAGTTCTAAAGGAAGGGCAAGAAACTTTATGTACAGCCTTGAGGGCATCAATACCAGTGGCACTCAGTGAGAAGACATGGGGTCTTTCTTCACGTCCAGCTCCATCACTTAAAATTATCAGAAATGTTACCAGAACCACTAGCTTCTGTCTAGACCTGCAGGAGTCCATATTTCACCTGATGGAGGGTTTACAACACTCCTTGGGGGAAGAAAGCTTGAACTGCAAGCAGCATTTTGCAGTGAAACAGTGCCAGTAGTGCTGTACCAGAAGCCAAATGTGACAAAGCAGGATGCAGCTTGCATAAAACTGAAAGGGACAAATGAAATTAATTTTATCCAGAAGAGCCAATATCTTTATGGCTGGAGAACTGATAAAATATTTAAGTCTGTGGGCTGATTTGACATGATTTAGACAGCATCATAATCTAAAAACTGGCCTTTA